ATGTGCCCCTGTTCATGCGCACGTACAAGTGTGCGCACTTTCAATTACACAACTCTTTTTATTGTGGAAAATTTACATGCACCAAAAAAAAAAAAAAAAAAAAAAAAAACTTTTAATGTCATTTTTTTTTTTTATTACTAAGACCATATGGATTTATTTTTCATTTTATTCATGTTTAATTATACATTTTAAATTATTTTTAATAGAAAGGAAAAAAAAAAAAACAAAAAAGCAAATATACGTACAACTGCAGAGCAATCATCCGTCCTACACCCTTTCCGTTATATTTTATGTACATTTGCACATATGCAAACTTACACCCCCAGAATTGCCTTCCCTACACAACTTGCAAAACTGATTCATCCTACTGCACCTCCTTGACTGTCCGCTCGTCCATAAGTATTTGTGCTACCTGCATCTTTCCCTCCCCCCCTTTGGTTGTTTATCATTTGCCATATATACACGAGGAAGCATGCGCCCCCCAAAGTGTACATAACCACCGACTGTAACATTGTCTTAACTGCACACGCACTGCACTTGTTAAATTTTACATGCATGTGGATGAAACAAAGCGACTAGGGCACACACACAAAAAAAAAAAAAAAAAGAATAAAAGATAAGAGCGGAAAACGGTAACTAACATAGCAGAGCTGACCACCTCTTTACGTTTACTTTGTTCCATGTTGAAATTTAATTCTTTTTTTTACAAACGTATGCATATGTTTGCTTCATCTACATGTGTATACCCGTATAAGACGTTTCTTGCCTGAGCTCGGCAAGCTCCCCTCCTCCCATACCCTATTACTCGCTGTGTATCTTTTTATATGCATTATCTCCTTTCACGAATCTCACCAAATTAAGTCATTTTTTTTTTTTTTTTTTAATGATAAAAAGTAAGAAGACAAGACAGTTATTATTATTTTTTTTTATTTTTTTTATTCATTCGAATTCTATTTTATAATTCGCTTTTTCAATAAATAAAAAATTGTGCATAAGCGTATTCATATTTTTATCCGACGTGTCCGTCATTCAGTCTCTCCCTGTGTGCACCCTACAACGAGCAGACTTAATTTATAATTTGGCTCTTTAATTTTTGAATTTTTTTTGTGAACCGCTTGCTTTTTTATTTATTACTTATGCGTCGCGTTGCTATGCGCATCTTTCAGTTTGATTCGCCACCCCCCCTCATCCACATTTGTCTAATGCGCCTTCAAAAATAGAAGAAGCAATTTTTTTTTTTTTCATTACACCTTTTTTGTTCACACGGTTGCTACTGTACCGTTGTTGCTTCTAAGCCTATTTTTTTTTATTTTCATTAATGATAGAATTCAATTTCTAATTATTATCTGATACTTGTCCCTTTTTTTTTTTTTTTTTTTTTTTTTTTTT